GCCTCTCGACGCTACTCGCGTTGGCGTGGGTCAGTAGACAAGTGACGCCCGGAGGGGGGTGAGACGAAGGGGATGGAAAGGCTGGCGGGATATTCGATATTCCGAGGGCATGGATCGCGCGACGCGCGGGAAGGGATGGCCCTCTGGTGCCACCCTAACGTGGCACGTGGGGCGCTACCAGGTGTTGCCTAGACATCGGGTCGATTCCGAACGCAGGCGCATGTGCGATCGTTCCCCTCGTCCTCCCTTTCCTTCCTCCGTCACCCTCTTCGTTCCTCTTCTCTTCCGTTTTTCCCTCTTCTTCTATCATGCTCGCTCTCTCTCTCTCTCTCTTTCTTTCTCCCTTTCTCTCGCTCTTCGCTACCTTCCTGCGCTCGTGCCGCGCACCCCACCCTCGTTTCTCCTCGTTTTTGCACGAGGGGAGATACACCCCTGCCGTAGGATCGCGCCCCGACGTGTGCCACCCTTGCACCATCACCACTACCATCACAGGCGGCGACAACAAGTAGACGACGTATATCGCATCGTCACTATGCAGCCAATCTTCCGTAGGAATTACCATCGGGGTTCTCTTTCTTCCTCTCTCTCTCTCTCCCTTTCTCTCTCTCTCTCTCTCTTTTTCTTTCTTTTAAAACAGGGAGAGAAAAAGAGTTCTTATACGCTCGCCGTAAACTCGCCAGGAACGAGACTCGGGAACGCAGCACCCCGACCAGCTGCTGTTCCCCCTTCGATTTTTGCGGGAGCCCCGGGATGTGTTCATGTGCGTGTGCATGTGCGTGTACACGCGCCCGGAAGCGATACGGGGCGATAAACAGCGGCGGAGAGTTTGCTAGGAAGAGATTTACAGATACACTGTACAAAAATTTTTGCGTAAATTTACAACTATTACAGTGGGTAATATTGAGACCAACTATTAAGGATGTATTGGACGGATTGTCTGTCTCAAAAGTTAATCCAAAGGATCAAAAAATTAAAGTTGGGCAGAATACGAATTCTAATTGATGAAAAATTTTTTAAAAATCACGAAATCATACTTCTAGTATTCTTTAATATAAATAGGTCTTAATTTCCAAGAAAATGTTGCCACGTTTCATCATCAATATTGCGTCAAACCGATAATCACAGTTATTTTTTTCATAATAATTTCAAAACGAGCAAGTAAATCGTTTTAAAACTTTGTGGGAATATTTTTACATGTATGAAGAATATAATATTACACAAATGAAATTTTTATCATTGTTTTTTTATAGTTTGTGAATAATTTATTATCTGTCTCTTGAATGTTTACATAAGGTCCTATAGTAAAATTGCAAAATTCAAAAATTAATAACTTTTAAAGGAGCAAGTAAAAAAATTTGAAATAATTCATGACGATTTAGAATGTTATTAAGAATGTTAAATTAAAAATTCACGGTGATCTCATTGTTTACATTTCATAGATAAAATTATTATCTTAATTGGTAAGTGAGCATCTTGTACTAATAAATTTACATGTTAGAAATAGATTTCTAGAAATGTTTACGTAATAATACATTTTGTATATGTATTTATACAATTTCACATATTAAATTTAATTAAAAATTACATACATAATTAGTGTAACAATTATGCTATTTATAACGAAAATATATAAATTCATGTACCTTTACAAAAATTAGTTATTTTACTCTTTATCGTATAAATTTGTTTATATTTGTTAAGAAATTACAAGGTTAAAAGTGTAATTTTTAAATTTTATATAAATGTTTAAAAAAATTGTACATTTACATAAAATCTAAAAATTACACTTTTAACCTTGTAATTTCTCAACAAATAATACTGCAACAATAAATGAATATTTACACAATATAGAGTAAAAAAACTAATTTTTGTAAAAGTACATAAATTTATATATTTCCGTTATAAATAGCGTAATTGTTACACTGATTATATGTGTAATTTTATATACTTTTTTTACAGTGTAGCTTAGTATGCGTTGCGTAGCGCAAAAGGTCGATGACCGGATCGAGAGTCTTTGCCGGTGGATCGGAAATCTCGTCTCGATTGACCGCACATGTCGCCGTTGACGTAAACGCATTTCGATTTTGTATTTGGGATATCGATTCTCATTCACAATTAGAAGAAACCAAAGCAAAGTGTAGCAAATCGTAGAGAAAGTGATAAAAAAATATAGAGAATATTATCGATTCTTTGAGAAAAATTATAATGATGTAGTTTGTAAAGTTGAGGAAGCTTGGAATTTTTTTTTATTTATATTAAATAAATTTCAGAAGGAATATAGATATTATATTAATAAGCAAAGTAATTTGAAAAAATATAACTAAATTGCAAGAATAGTTCGCCGCTCTTATTGCGAATAAATGCAACCGCAGTGAATACGAGGTATTACAGCAGCTTCCTTGCTTTACATTTTTCCAATCTCCTTTTTAAATCGGGCTAGGCGACCCGGTCTACGTAGCGAGCTTTGAAAAAAAAAATAGAAAAACGCTGTATAACATAAATTCAACTTTACGCAAAGCACGGGTGTACGTACTAAGAATACAAAATCATCGTTTATAAGGATAAAACGAAATATTGCGGTTACAATACACTGCCATGTCGTTTACGATATATTGTCATTTTCGAAAATTAAAAAATTTATGTGCGTGTATTTTAATAAAAACGTCAATTTTTAGCCAATAAATTGTGTAAAAATTGTACCGCTGCATAACATTACATAAATAGTCTACTTTTCGTGGTAATAAATTAACTAATCATTAATCTTTCTCTTAACAAAAATGTCGAGACGATCATTTATTGCTTTTTATTTTGCAGTAAATTTTAAAATTCTATCTAATAAATGCAATTTTTTAAATTATTTCCATTTAGATAAATACTTCTCTAAAAAATTTACGATTTGTATGTATGTATGAATTTATTGAATTTATAAAAAATTAATTTTAGAAAATTTTCTGTCTCGCTTTACCACCTGCGCTTCGCTTGGTCTATAACAGCCTTTATTTTATTACTTGATTTATCATTGGGATCATTTAAAGAATTTTTTTCTGTTGTAATTTGAAAAGATTATTTTTTTGAACATTTCTTAAAAATTTAGTTTGCAAAAAATCTTTTTCTTTCTTAATCGCTTATACTTTGAATATTATTTTGATGTCCACTTTATTAATAAACTATTTATCTTTAATTAAAATCATTATTTAATATCGCATATAACTTTTATACGGATCTTTCTTGTCCAAAAATCGTTCTCGTTTCTTACGCAACACTGTAAAAAATTTTTGTGTAATTTACAACTGTTATAGTGAGTAATATTGAGACCAACTATTAAAGGTATATTTACATACATTAGTAAATTCACATTTCATAGATAAAATTATCTTAATGGTAAGTAAGCATCTTGTACTAATAAATTTACGTGTTAGAAGTAGATTTCTAGAAATGTTTATGTAATAATACATTTTGTATATATATTTATACAATTTCACATATTAAATTTAATTTAAAATTACATACATAATTAGTGTAACAATTACGCTATTTATAACGAAAATATATAAATTCATGTACCTTTACAAAAATTAGTTATTTTACTCTTTATCGTGTAAATATTCGTTTATATTTAATAAGAAATTACAAGGTTAAAAGTGTAACTTTTAAATTTTATATAAATGTCAAAAAATTGTATTTACATAAAATTCAAAAATTACACTTTTAACCTTGTAATTTCTCATTAAATATAAACAAATATTTACACAATAAAGAGTAAAATAACTAATGCTTGTAAAAGTACATGAATTTATATATTTCCGTTATAAATAGCATAATTGTTACACTAATTATATGTGTAATTTTACATACTTTTTTTACAGCGAAGTACAGCGATTAACAGCCGCGATACTGCGCAAACAATTGGCGCCCTACGCCATTGACATCGTCAACACATCCTCGTGCCACGCGCGCGTGTCACGCATGCACAACCACAACGAGCGACCTGCAGGAATCGAGAACCGACATCAGCACTCTCGAGGGGTAGCTGTGCAGCCCCTCGCGCAGACGGACCATCACCATCACTATCAGCGGCAGCAGCAGCAGCAGTAGCGGCAGCAACAGCAGCGCCACCCTTCAATTCCATCCGTGGGGGAGCCGCAACGGAGGGACGCCGGGGGTGCTGCTGACTGGTCGAGTCCGCGGAGCGGCGAGAGCAACCCCGCGAGCGCGACGGAGATGGCGATCGTCGCGGGGAAGGGGTAAGGGGCCGGGAGGACGGTAACGCGGAGCGGCAGCGCCACCGACTAAACAGTCGCACCCCGTCGTCGCCGTCGTATTCGAGGCCACCCCCTGTCACTGGCGAGAGCCGCGACAGGGAGCGACCGAAAGCGAGTAACGGACGGGCGGACGGACGGACGGACGGACGGACAAACGGACGAGAGCGGTCTTGAGTCAGTCAGTCAGTCGGTCGGTCTTCTCGGCAGTCTCGGGGCGCGGAGAGAAGCCACCCCTAGACTCACGCACGTACACACATACATACAATCGCGCGCGATATATACAGGCGCGCGCGCGCGCGGGCAGATACACGTATACGGACTACTGGTATAGAGACCGCGGAAGAAACGATCCAGGTGGGAGTATCTCGACGATCATCCCTTGGAGCGGAGAGGAGAATCGGATTCTTCAAGGATAGCTCGCAGGAAACGCAGGCCGCGCGTCGGTGGCTGGCATGGTGGCGGTGGTGCATCCGTTTAAGGAGCCGCCCTCGCCGCGCCGATGACGAGGCTGCGGGTCCCACACCAGCGCGTACCACGTAGGACGAAGGCGAAGCCGGCCAACGAGCGGCCACCTGGTCGGGGTGGTTCCTTGGTCCACCGGTTTGACGACGGGCCGCAGACGCAGACGGCCGGGCCGGGCGACGGACGGGCGCGACGTAGACGTCGGCGTCGCGGGAACGTCGGCGACCACGGCGACGTCCGCGGAAGAGGCGGGGCAGCCAGCAGACGCGACGTAGCCGCGGTTATCGGCAATCGTGACGACATCGGTGGTGCTGCGGTTGGTGCTGCGGTTGTTGGTGCTGAGCGTGTCGGTGTCGGTGGTGCCTCGCCTAGGTGTTCCGTTCCATCGGGCTTCCCCGAGTCGTCGTCCCTGGTGATTGGACGACGACGACTACCATCGCCATCGTCGGCTCCCGGTGCCGCCGGTCGACGCGATCAGCGTCACCATTATGCCACGCTGTCTCATGGCGAAAAAGTGGAAGTGGAATCAGTGGCAGGCCCGCGTGGACGATCAGGCGAGCGAGCAGAAGGACGCGACGCCACCCGGGGCCGCGGACCCGCAGGAGCAGCAACACCATCTGCTGCATCAGACCGCGGATGCTATGGAGAAACGGTCGCACAGGCATGAGCCGATCGAGGACGAGGAGATAGACGTGGTCGGGGACGTCGATAATCATCAGGTCGATCATCAGCAGACCTGCTGGGGGCCCCATAGTCCCACGGCGGGGGCTACAGCCCCCAGTCCGCCGCCCCTCAACGCTTCTGGTGCTCTGTACTATCACGGTAGGTTCTCATCTAAGGGCTCTCCTTTCACTCTGGCGACATAGTCACCCCAATTGCTTTTACATCATGTGTAACGCGAGTGTAGACGCGCCACGCCCAAGATCTGGGACTTTTCTTGGGATTCGCATAAAAGGCAGAATTCTTTCTTTTCTTTTTCTCTTTTTTTTTTCTAAAGAGCTCTCTAGCTTTGGCATCATCTGGCCATGCGTCGAGCACGCAGGGTGACACACCCGCCTATTACAGACGCTAGCGTGCGCTATAGACAGATTGCGGTAGCTGCTTAAACGCGCCATGTCATTAGACGATTGTCCCTAGAAAATGCGGAAAGATAAGTTTGTCGACGACCGCAGCACAACAAGCGTTTCCATGTTTTTTCCGGGGAAAACCATTCGGGAAATCCATGTGTTCGCACATGTATATACGTATGTACGTACATGGCGACACACCCGTCTGTAGATCGTCGATCACGTCGACGATCACGTTTGGCACCCTTAACGTTGAGTCATGATTCCGATATGTCATTGTAAGCTATTGTAGTCAAGAGCTATTTCGTCCATCGTATTTATTGAGCTCTCAATCAGACAGGGAGGAAACTGACTGCGTTTTGACGTCGTTGGTTGTTGTGTAACCACAGCTATCCAGAATGGTCAAATTGCTTTTATGACGTAGATGAATACGCCTACGATATCGGATTATGTCAAGAGCAGACTGTTTGTTGAATATCCTTGCGATATGAAACTTGTTTTATAATTATATATGTTTTGCTTCTTACGTAACAACTTCGCATAAATTTCACACGAATTATACACGAATTAATTGTATTACGCGAACCAAAAAGAATTCTGGATTTTAATTTGTTTCCTACACTGAGGGAAAAATTATCTTGAAATAAAAAAATTTTAGTTAACTCAAGAAAGCTATTTATTCGGTGGGTACTAATCACGTATTTACTTGTATTCAAAACGTCTGTTTGCTTAAGTTAAGTATTTATTTACATATGTTTAAAAAAATATAATTTTTAATTAAATATTTTTATTTTAAACAAAATATTTATTACAAAATATTTATTATAAAATGCATTTTTTATTCCCAAAAATTTAAAATTTTTTAATTTTAAAAAATATATATTTAATTTAATAAATAATAGTATATATTTTACGAAAATAGTATTTAAATATAAAAAATATATAAATGAAAATAATGTACTTAATATAACATGCATATTTAATTAAAATTAAATGCTTTTGCTTAAATGAAATAAACAATTCCTTCCTTTTAAAGCAAAAATTTCAAGAAAACAAATTTATTTGGTTTAAAAAAATTTTTCCCTCAGTGTATTATCAATTTCTTCAAAATTATGTTTTTTTCAACACAACGAAAATTTGATTATGCTACATCACATCTGTGTCAATCACATTTTTGGAAGAGACATAAAGAATAAATGAGTAGATTTTTTTCTGTCATCCTTTTTTAACGTCAAATGCCATCAGATAAAATTATTATACATATTTATGTATTTGTTATATATTTATAAAAAATGCGAAGGCTCTTGCATGAAATTATTCTATAAAAATTAAACTAAAACTTTTGCGTGCATGTGAATAAATCACCGATGCTTTAATCATTCATAGGTATTCTTAAAAGCCAGAAATATAAAGTAACAACTTCCTTTTACCTCATTTATGCTGCTTATAGGCAGTAGATTGCGCACGTGTTCACACAATGGCACAAATGACGTTATGTAACAAGTGTTCTCTTTATCACTGCGTCACGATTTGAGTACAATCGCGTTCGTTCTGCCAATTTTTGCAACTGGAATTTCATATTTGACAGTACCACAATATTTACCAAAACAAAAATTAAATAATATGCTTATTATTAATAAATACTAAAAAATGTTTATAATTAACATTATATAATTTTATAATTAATGAAAAATTTTCTAATCTAATGTGAAAAATATATATCTTATAACAATGATCCAAGTTTATACAACAGAAAGTTTTGTGCATGATTCATTGTGTGAACTCTTATTTAGATTAACGATTATTATAGATACCTATAAACAGACTTTATAACAGAATTATAAGAAGAAAAAAAGCAAGTCGTATAAAAGTTTATCTATCATCACAAAGATTAAATTTTCAACAGGATTACAATCACGTAAGAAAAATGTAAGAATATACATTCACTATAGAATATATATTCACAGGTTTCTTCGACCTTGACTTTCTTATTGTACAATTAACGATTGGTTCTTACTTGTTTGATAAGGTAATATATACATAAAATATGATAAAGTCGCCGTTCTGATCGTGAGATAAAATGTGTGAGGGCATAATATTTTTTACAGCAAAAAATATCTCGGAAGAAAAATTACTACATTAATTCGTAAATTATTGTGGAAGATGTAATCTAATAAAAATAAATTTAACTCATTAATTATTTCGATCAAATCTATTTAAAATTGTCTCTAAAATCTGTTTAATCTATATATATATATATTTATGTTTATTCAGACATCAAATATAATATTTATGATCAATATTTTATTTTAAGAATAGACGAATAAAATTTGGTTATCTATTTAAAACGCAATCAAGTTTATTTTGCGTCCATTTTTCTTTTTTTTTATAATTTTAAATAAATGTGATAATTCATTATCACATAAAAATATTGGCAAATGTTTATTCTAAGACAAAAATTAATATTAACAACTATCGCAAATAATTTAACGACATAAAAATATAAATTTTTATTTAATTATAAATAATTTGATAGATCAAGTATAATATATTTATACTTGCTGTTTGTTTTGCGCTCACAGGGTCGATAAAGATCAAAGGCGATAAATCTACAGGAATGTGCGGAATGTTCATTCAAGGTATATAAATATGCTTTATGGGCTATATCTGTGATCTGCGATAGATAACGTAGATATAGAGAATTCACTTAGAATTCATAGATAATTCATATCACTTTACACCGTTCTATATAATGATTTTATTATTTCCTAATTGTAAGAGGTTAAATCAGATAGAGCCAGTAATTACGTCATACCAATCGATAAAAATGTAATTTAATCAGATACTTTGGATAAGATTATATTTGGATAAGATTATTCTCTTTTTTATAATAAAAACAAATTATTCTTCACTTTTATCGATACATCATCATAATAATAAATCTGTGTATAGTTGTTTAGTTGTGTTTTTCATTAATTTTTCATTAAATGAGAGAAATAAAGCATAAATACAAGTCAATCATATAAATCAAATTTTATATCGCCTTTCGATGAAATACAATATAATACGGTAATAAAATATAAATCTCATTTTTTTTCTTCGTTATGTCTTTTATAAAGACTATCTCTCTTTCATTCTGCGATAAATTGCGTGCGGCTAGTGACGAAATATATAAATTAATTAAATAGAGAACATAAATACGATCCATTAATTTCTACGATCGTTTGAAAATTGTATCTGCGCGATTCCATTATTCTACAGGGTGGCCCCGAACGTTCCAGCCAGACTTTGAGATCTTATAGGAAATTTAATTCTAAACAAAAGTTTCCTATAAACATGGATCGAAAAATGCTTCCTTAAGAAGTTATCGCTCAAAACCTCTGCTGAAGGAAGAGCAAAAGGTAAAGAAAATGAAATAAAAAGAAAATGAAACTAAATAAATTTCTTGAAAAATGTCTTTATTCATTTTCTACTATTACGTGCTATTACTAAAATATTAGTTTAAAAAAAAATTATTTTATTTTCATAAAAGAAAAAGATTTTTATTTTTTATTTTTATCGTTTTTTTTCAAGAAATTTATTTAGTTTCATTTTCTTTTTATTTCATTTTCTTTTCATCTTTTGCTCTTCCTTCATCAGAGATTTTTGAGCAATAACTTCTTAAGGAAGCATTTTTCGATTCATGTTTATAGGAAATTTTTTCTTCAGAATTAAATTTCCTATAAGATCTCAAAGTCTGGCTGGAACGTTCGAGGCCGCCCTGTATAATCTTCGATAGAGAAGGGACAAAACGAAGAAAGAAACTCGACGTTAATGTTAATCGCAACGGAGATTTTTATCGGTCTTTAAAAGAGCCTAGAATCAACGGACTCGTGGGAGCGCGTGGGAGCGTTCATTCGCTGTTATTGATTCCCCCCTCCGCCCTATACGACCCTTTCGCAACCCCTCCACCCTTCTCGCTCCGCAACTGCTGCGCTCCTTTTGCCGTTGATGAAATGCACTTGCAGACATGGCCATTCTCTTTTAGCTCTGTGTTGACTTCCCTTTATTTCAGCCAATAATAGATACGCGCCAGCTGATCGATCGCACGCGACCAGCACACTTTTCTGATTTATTCGCCTTCCAGTGTTCCGTTTTCCCCTAGAACCCTCGTCTATTTAGGGGAAAAGTAGCGTTGAAATAGGATGTTCGTGTAAGGAACACGTTTGACGCACGTGACGGTCGAAAACTTAAGCAATTTATCCTTGTAAAAACTTGGGAATCTGTTTTTCAACTGTGACTGATTCAAAACGAAAGTATTTTCATCAATTTTGTATCCTCAATAATCCCGTTTCTCAGCAAATTTTTAATAAAATTTTGAAATTAAAGAGAAGAAACGGCATACACAGTTATTTAGATATTCGATATTAAATCTTAAGATGCAAAAAAATCTACGTCAAGAATTAAATTTTAAAACAAATTATATTAATTTTTAACAGAAATATATATTGTTTTGTTTATCAAACATTAGTTTAATAAAATATAGATAATTGATCTGAAAATAATAAATCATTATTGCAAAAAAGGCAGTAGACATAAAAAAAAATTTTCAATAATAAGCAAAATTTTACAAACTCTTCATCATTAAATCTTTGGTTTGATACAAAATTATTGTTTATTATCATTTTCACACCATTATTTTCGTAATACAATAGACATAAAGACATGGACAAATCTAATATTTTTAGCTATTAAAATATGTATGTTTTCAAAAGTTAGTAATCAAATTTTTTTTACGGTTATTTGCAGGAAAATTAGAGCGTCTTTTTGTTATAACGACTGATTCAATTCAAATTGCTGAAACGTTTAAATCAGAGATAGTACGATTAATCAACGATAGCACTCGTTAATTAATCGCTACATATAGTGTGTTCACTGCTTATGGAACAGACTTTCGCGTTACGTAACCAGCTGGACGGCACGCGTATCGATTTCACGGCGAAAGTCGTCCGTTGCGTGTTTTATCTACATTCTCGGGAGCAATAAAAGAAACACAAATAGGGTTTAGTCGGCATCAATAACTAATAATGAGGTCTAACTAATTCGAATTGCAAAAGCAAGTAGCAGCAATTTTTTTTTTAAAGCCATGCGGTAGACGCGAATCTATCCAAAACTGTTTTCGAGATTCGATCAAATTCCAAAGATTCATAACTTATCTAAATTCATACAGTTAATAGAATCACAATAATGTTGCTCTTTTATATTATATCACTTAATTATTTTTAATATTAATATTAATCACTTAATTATTTTTGATATTAAAAGTTAACAATACGCAATCTGCGATTCGATAGCTTATTGTAAGTTTTTATCGTTAAATTCCACCGACTGTCATCCAATCATATCGTAATATCAAATTATTAAAATTCCAATCAATTCGTTACAGTTTGTAAATTAAAATTATTTAGAAAATTATCTCAGCTAAAATTATCTACAAGAAACTATGAAAATATCATCTAATTAAGAAAAAAAATATTATCGTTTAAATAAATTCGCTCTTTGCGTGAAAAAACTTTGGACATCCAGGAAGCGGAGTAGTTTAACAAGCTGGTATTTTAATTGAAAATTAGAGTTGAATAATATATGTTTCTTGCGCGTATATAACGACGCTGGAAATGAGAGTGCTCGGGAAAAAAGAAACGTTGTTATACAGGGTGACCTCGAACGTTCCAGCCGGATTTTGAGATCTTATAGGAAATTTAATTCTGAACAAAAAATTTCCTATAAATATGGGTCGAAAACTCATTCCTTAACAAGTTATTGCTCAAAAATCTCTGATGAAGGAAGAGCAAAAGGTGAAAAAAAAATGAAACTAAATAAATTTCTTGAAAAAAACGATAAAAATAAAAAATAAAGATCTTTTTCTTTTATGAAAATAAAATAATTCTTTTTTTTTAACTAATATTTTAGTAATAGCACGTAATAGTAGAAAATGAATAAAGACGTTTTTCAAGAAAATTCATTTGGTTTCATTTTCTTTTTATTTCATTTTCTTTTCACCTTTTGCTCTTCCTTCATCAGAGGTTGAGCGATGACTTCTTAAGGAAGCATTTTTCGACCCACGTTTATAGGAAATTTTTTCTTCAGAATTAAATTTCCTATAAGATCTCAAAGTCTGGCTGGAACGTTCGGGGCCACTCTGTATATATACGAGGCGCTATTTGCGCGCATTTCGCATGAATCTTTCGCGGTCCTTCCCAGCAACAGCAGCGGCGCGTATTTCGCCCTTCATCCCCCCTCTTTCCCCCACCCCCACCACCTCGGAACCGCCCCTGCGCAACAGCGAGCGGCGCGCAACAGATACAACATTGCGTTATTATACACCCCCGCGTTCACGTGTCGCGCCATCACCACTACCTCCTGCTGCACACAACCGACTTTTTTCTCCATCCCCCTTTGTACCCGTTAATGATCGTATACGGTGGAAACAGCTGGCGCACAGGAAATGAAACGCCACGCAACTCGTGAGTGATTCACGAATTCAAATATTCATACCGCCGAGAGACGAATGAGATGTTATACCGTGCGTGCACGTCGCGCCCTCGCCGTCCTTTCGTCGTTATATTACGAGGGGGTGGGTTTCATTTGAGAAGAAACTCACGAGCGATTATTATAAATTAAATAGCAGTCGCCGTATCTGTTTCCATTTAGGGACATTCCGATGCATCTTTGAATATTTCACGTCGTGTGCTTGATCGGACTTTATGTCTTGTCATCGCGAATGCGATCTATATGTGCTATCTAATCTATCGAGCACGAAAATAAAATTTTAGATACCGATAAATTGCGTAATAACAGATACTTATATAGTATAGACGACGCGATAAATAAAAATCCAAAATTATCGATGATTTAATAAATTTTAATAAATTTTTTTAGTAAAAATTAAATTTATTTAACCCTTTTAGGGGCACATTTTTTGTGTGAGATCAACAACAAAGATCATGATGGTTTTATAAGTTTTTGGGGTCACTGATTACGAATCTGGCATCATAATTTCAAAATTCAAGATGGCGGATTCAAGATGGCGGATTATATCTTAAAAATATTGACAAACCTGATATTTTTAGATGAAATCACGTATATAGGGGTTTTCAGGATCGCTGATCACGAATCCGGCTTCGGATTTTTGAAATTCAAGATGGCAGATAATCCTTGATGAACTCATACATAGATAAAAAAAACTGATATTTTCATGTTTTTGTGGATTTTTTTCTCAAAAACTACACATCTAATCGAAAAAACATCAAGAATACTTTCTTCTTCGAATTATATACAAAATATGATAAGATTTTTTAAAATTGAAAATTATCAGATTTTAGATATGTCATCCGCCATCTTGTATTTCCAAAATCTGAAGCCGGCATTGTGATCAGAGACCCCGAAAACCTATATATGTGCAATTTGGGGTTGATTCAACAAGACCTGTATTCAAAATTGATTTTTTTCCGAAAAAATAGTGTTTTTTTTATATTGATTATTTATTAATTAATTATTGTCAACCCCCCAGTAAAAAGTGATTACAATATGTAGGTAATCAGAAGTCTAAGGAACTTGATTGTATGCATATAACTGTCGTAATACATCCATAATGAGGAAAATACTAAAGATAAATAGGTGTATCATATATGATACACCGCCCCTCAAAGGGTTAATAAATTTAGTAAAAAATTGGCCAAAGATACGGAGTACATAAAACCGAAAACCGCTGAATATTTTCATTGCGAGAGACGTGAAATAAATGACCGCGATGACCAAATATAAATAGAGCCCTTTCGCGATTCCGACTGTATCTCGTAGCTTGTACGAGCGGTAATAACTTAAAACAAATGGAAGATAAGACCCCTCAAGAGCACAGCCTAATCAAATAAAACTACCACCGCCTATCTCTGTGGATTAATCTACTCGCTACCCGTTTCTAGGCTACACGCACGAGGCATGGATCAACCACGAAGAGCCGCCCAAGTACGCGACGCTGCGCTCAGCGGCAGAATTGGCGCGTCCGGTAGCTCCGTCGCCGCCCCCGGTTGCGCAGCAGGAGCTACCGGTTCCGGTACTGACCGGGCCGAGCCTGCATCAGGTGCCGTCACATCAAACCACGAGTCCATCGTCGTCCCCGTCGTCGTCGTCGTCGCCATCGCCATCGTCGTCGTCCGTCACATCGCTGTGCCTGCCGCCGCGCAAGAGCCTCTCGATGTCCTTCACCAGCACCGGCACGGCCCTGTCCTTACCGCCCAAGAAGAAGGACATCTACCGTCCTTACAGCCTGCAACCGATCTCCGAGATACGCACCTCTGCCGAGGAGGACCTGTCGGCCGCGCAGGCCATCCTGGATCTCAGCGCGTCGCCCGCCGCGCCCACGCATTCTGTTTTTATTCATACCCTATCACCGCCGCCGCCACCGCCGCCGCCGCCGCCGCCGCCGCTGCCGCCGCCGCCCGCCGCGCCGAACGCGACCGCGACTGCGCAGCAGCAGCAGCAGCAGCAGCAGCAGCTGCAACCGGCACCGACGGCGGGAACGCAGCAACCTATACCGGTCTCCGTGCTGGTGCCGGTGCCCAGTTCGCAGACCAATCAGCTGCGCCAACAGGAGCAGACACCGCCACAGCCGCAGTCGCCAGCAACCGCGGAGGCCACCGGCGGAAACTGCAGCAGGGATAGGTGAGTCCAGTGCTTGTCGTCGATCATTTCGAGTTCTTCGCGTTTGTTAAGGGGATCCTACTACTAGTTATTCTACCCTTCTATTTCGAGTGTTCTATCTTATTCCTCGGTGGTTTTAAGGTCAGATTGGGAAAATTTCGGTAAAATTGTCGTACAGTTTAATTAAGGGGATCCTAAAGTCGCCTGTTTTATCGACACAAACGCCGTAATTTTCGGAGGTGTGCCAGTTTTTATTGCCTGTATAGAATTAAAAATCCTTCTTCAGAATTGAAGTATACACGCAAACGGACACGTGAAAATTCTATGTAGTATGAGAGTTTATATTGAGAAAGAAAATAAGTATAAAATTACATTTTTATTTATCGACTTCTTAAATCAACATAGCGTCGGAGCTGCCAACTTGTACAAATATTAGCTTCTTATAAAAGTTTTATAGCTTTTATGCATAAAACTGTAGTTTTCACGATTACTGCACCGTAGAACATTGTCGAACTATAAAAACTGAATTGAATGGCCTAATTAATAAATGGCATTCTTCTGAAAATTTCAGTCCGTATGTATCTAAAATATCGGTAAAGTAGAGTATGAAAAAAACAGTGCATCTTCTTTATAAATAACGTGATAGAAAGAGACACGGATGAGGATTAGATAAGGGCGTTGTAATCGTGTAAGAGTTCACCGTTCAGTTTAGGATCCCGCCCCAGTTTAAGGATGTTTTGTATTATTTTCAAATTATTGAAAATTTAATGAAAATTGTACAGAATGTCCTTACATATGTTTAGAATTTTCAGTACAATTTTTAAATCGATTCACTAAAGCGTTCACAAATTATAAGGATTTTAATTTGCACCGAATTAACATGTGTTCTTATGGGAAATGTATAACCACGTCGATTTAAATAACAAAAACACATGTCTAGTTTAACATTCTAAGAAAAGTTAAAGTAAAATAATCTTGAATTTTAACATACAAAATAATCAAAATTAAAGTCAAATGTTTCTATTGCAAATAATTTAAGTTAAAATAATTACTATTATAAGTTAATGTTCTACAACAATTCTTACGAGTTTCTGTAACTATTTTTTCATGTAATTTTTAATTAATTTGTATGTAATTTTTACATTACACTTAAAGTCACAATAACAAAAATAAATGTGAGGTATTGTATCAATTATTTAACACTTTTAGTTTGTCAATAAGTAACACATGACTAATGAGTTATTTTAACTTAAGGATGTTTTGTACCTATTTTCAAAATATTGAGAATTTGATGAAAATTGTACAGAATGTCCTTACATATGTTTAGAATCTTCAGTACAATTTTTAAATCGTTTCACTAAAGCGTTCACAAGTTATAAGGATTTTAATTTGCACCGGATTAACATGTGTTCTTATGGGAAACATATAATCACGTCGATTGAAATGACAAAAACACATGGAAATAATATTCAGAATTTGTTTAAAATTTGCAAAAGTTTAGATACAGAGGAAATATTTGGTCAAATAATATTATACAAGTACTAACTGGTTAAAAAGATATTAAATATAAATATAATTAAATATAATTCAATGAAGTTAGCCATGTATCTGTCACAAGGCGAAATTCTCTGCCAAAAGTTAATCATTTCGATTAACAAAATTCGGAATATTTCAGTAAAAACGCAGTAAATATTAAAAAATATCTGCACTGTAGCCAAGATTAAATTATAATATTCCACACAATTTCTTACTCAAAATACACCAAAAGTGGATATATTCGTCAATATTGATTTTCAGCTACTTTTTGCTGAAATTGTACATACAAAACATCCTTAAGGATGTTTTGTACCTATTTCCAAAATATTGAGAATTTAATGAAAATTGTACAGAATGTCCTTACATATGTTTAGAATCTTCAGTACAATTTTCAGTACATTTTTAAGTCGATTCACTAAAGCGTTCACAAGTTACAAGGATTTTAATTTGCATCGGATTAACATGTGTTCTTATGGGAAACGTATAACCACGTCGATTCAAATGACAACAACACATGGAAATAATATTCAGAATTTGTTTAAAATTTGCAAAAGTTTAGATACAGAGGAAATATTTGGGCAAATAATATTATACAAGTACTAACTGGTTAAAAAGATACTAAATATAATTCAATGAAGCCATGTATCTGTCGCAAGGCAAAATTCTCTGCCAAAAGTTGATCATTTCGATTAACAAAATTCGGAATATTTCAGTAAAAACGCAATAAATATCTGCACTGTAGCCAAGATCAAATTGTAATCCACACAATTTCTTACTCAAAATACACCAAAAGTCAATATGTTCGTCAATATTGATTTTCAGCTACTTTTTGCTGAGATTGTACATACAAAACATCCTTAAAGCTTTTGAATGCGAATCGTCACAATAATATCTGTCCAACAGCTCCGGCAGCAAGACTGTCGCCTACACCTACGAGGCCTTCTTCGTGTCCGATGGCCGATCAAAACGTCGCGGTGGCACCGGCAGCAACAACAACGGCGCCGCCGTGCCCGACAAGGAGGCGGCCCAGCCGGACAGGCCCAAGTTCACGTGCACCGAGTGCGGCAAGCAGTACGCCACGTCGTCGAATCTGTCGCGGCACAAGCAGACGCATCGCAGTCTCGACTCGCAATCGGCCAAGAAGTGCATCCACTGCGGCAAGGCTTACGTCAGCATGCCCGCCCTGGCGATGCACGTGCTCACGCACAAACTCGCCCACAGTTGTGGCGTATGCGGCAAGATGTTCTCGCGACCCTGGCTGCTGCAGGGTCATCTGCGCAGCCACACCGGCGAGAAGCCATACGGATGCGCCCACTGCGGCAAAGCGTTCGCCGACCGCTCGAATCTGCGGGCGCACATGCAGACCCACTCGGCCGACAAAAACTACGAGTGCTCGAGGTGCCACAAGACCTTCGCCCTCAAGTCCTATTTGAACAAGCACCTGGAGTCGGCGTGTCTGCGCGACGAGGAGATGCAGCAACAGCAGCATGCCGGTAACAGTGCCACGCAGCATCAACAGAACACCAATCGAGGCTTGTAGCAGCGCTTCGAGAAGGGGAACAACGATGCCACGAGGATCGAGGAATCGAGAAAGAGCTAGCGGTGCCACGTGATCGCTGCTTGATCGCGAAGAGGCACGAGGGTACGAAGAGCAAGGGAGGAGATATAAGGTTTGCCGTAGATTTTAAGTAGAAAAGTGCCAGTAGAGACAGAAATGAGAGTTAGAGAGAGAGAGAGAGAGAGAGAGAGAGAGAAAGCGTGAGAGAGAAAGAGAGAAAAGATGCAAATGAAAGAATGACATGAGTGAAGAGTTAGAAGGAACGAAAGGGAGCAAAAGAGAGGGAGAGCGTGAGTTTATTAATAATGTCTAACATTAATAAAAACGTCCAGTAATGTTAAGTCGTAAAAGAAAAAAAAACACGTCGAACGTTGACGTCCACACTGCAGAGTCTAGTCACTCTAGTCGATTATATACCTATTACATTATGATATTATATTATTATATATATATTATAGTATATATATAAATATACGTATATATATATATATATATATATATATATATATATATATATTTACTAGCGCGTACGATAGTCCGCGAGCTCGTTACGAAGACACTATTTATTAATACTTAGCTGCCTAAATTAAAGAAAGGGAAACGAAGAATAAACCGAGAGAGATTTTACAGGATCCATGAATCGCGATTCGCGCGCCCATCGATCTGGATCGAGACGCGCAGGTGTGATCGACGACTCGCCGATTCTCATTTTGCAAAGAGAGAAGACCTGGAGGAAACCTTTCGAAACGATACCGCGTATATTTTCAGCGGTCACAAAAATCACCGGATCGATTGAAAATTAATCCGTCTCTGCTGCTGTCGGTATCTTTGAATAAATAGTTGGCTTTAAACAGCTGTTATCCGGAGTTGGCATTTCCACGAATATTAATTATACTATTTGAATTATGATACATAATTAATATGACGCGACGTGCGTTAAAATCACGGTTGTTTAAGGATGTATTGGACGGACCGTCTGTCTCAAAAGTTAATCCAAAGTATCGAAAAATTAAAGTTGGGCAGAATACGAATTCTAATTGATGAAAATTTTTTAAAAATCACGAAATCATACTTCAAAATATTCTTTAATATAAATAGGTCTTAATTTCCAAGAAAATGTTGCCACGTTTTATCATCAATATTGAGTCAAACCGATAATCACAGTTATTTTTTTCATAATAATTTCAAAACGAGCCAGTAAATCGTTTTAAAACTTTGTGGGAACATTTTTACATGTATGAAGAATATAATATTACAAAATGAAATTTTTATCATTGTTTCTTTATAGTTTGTGAATAATTTATTACCTGTCTCTTGAACGTTTACATAAGATTTTAAAATCGCAAAATTCAAAAAATTAATAACTTTTAAAGGAGCAAGTAAAAAAATTTGAAATAATTCATGACGATTTAGAATGTTATTAAGAATGTTAAATTAAAAATTCACGGCGATCTCATTGATTGTAATATATCTCCAATACATCCTTAAAGTCGCTCGAAGCTACTGTAGAAGTGCAGGAAGGGTTAATGGTCGTTCGGTGGATGCGCTCCTTTAAAAATTTCCTCGAGATTAATCCATTGGAATAGAACGAAAGCTACGGCTAATCGATAAGCACAATAACCGCACAGCGATTGTACTCGCAAGCCAACTTGCGACACGTCGCCTTTGACTGACGCGTGAATAAAGGCCGGACAAAGTGTCTTTGAAGATTCTGAGGGTACGCATTAAACGGAAAACTTTATGCTTCATGGCATCCCCTCTTCTTTTATATCGAGTCAAAGTCCGCCACACCTGCGTATCTCGCACGATTATGCGATTATGCGACGCGCGCGTTTCAGCTACGGAGCGAGGAGCGAGATGTCGAATCGGCGAAAATCGGAAAATCGTGCGTAAGAAATATATCGTAGAGAAAATATCGTGGTCTCTCTCGCGATCGATCGATCGCGAACGCGAACGCGAACGCGCGAACGATGTCGTATTATAAAACGAATCCTCACAACGTACACACGTACTTAGAGCAAATTCGAGTAATAGACGCGTGTAACACATTGTTATACAACACATATTTTATAGAGGCAATATAAGAAAAAATAAATAAATAAATAAATAAATATGACGCGACAAGTACGGTCAAAGCAATGTTTCGACACAACGAATTATATAATTATACATATAGAGGCAAACATCGAAGTTTAACCAAGTTTTGAGCAAGAACCGATGATATGCTTATATGCATGATGGAGAACGATCGCCCGATCCACACCCCCTGAAGTGTCTCTCGTATTGATCGATTTTGATAGCGAGAATCCTGCAGTCGAATCAACATTTCATTAAAGTCATAACGTTCGTTTTGCGACTTTTGTAAGATATTCTTTAAGGATGTTTTGTACCTATTTTTAAAATATTGAGAATTTAATGAAAATTGTACAGAATGCCCTTACATATGTTTAGAATCTTTAATACAATTTTTAAATCGATTCACTTTAAAGCGTTCACAAGTTATAAGGATTTTAATTTGCATCGAATTAACATGTGTTCTTATGGGAAATATATAACCACGTCGATTCAAATGATAAAAACACATGGAAATAATATTCAGAATTTGTTTAAAATTTGCAAAGTTTAGATACAGAGGAAATATTTGGGCAAATAATATTATACAAGTACTAACTGGTTAAAAAGATACTAAATATAATTCAATGGAGCCATGTATCTGTCACAAGGCAAAATTCTCTGTCAAAAGTTGATCATTTTGATTAATAAAATTCGAAATATTTCAGTAAAAACGCAATAAATATCTGCACTGCAGCCAAGATCAAATTATAATATTCCACACAATTTCTTACTCAAAATACACCAAAAGTGGATATATTCGTCAATATTAATTTTCAACTACTTTTTGCTAGGATTGTACATATAAAACATCCTTAAGGATATTTTGTACCTATTTTCAAAATATTGAGAATTTAATGAAAATTGTATAGAATGTCCTTATATATGTTTAGAATCTTTTGTACAATTTTTAAATCGATTCACTAAAGCAAGTTATAAGAATTTTAATTTGCACCGAATTAATGTGTTCTTATGGGAAACATGTAATCACGTCGATTCAAATGATAAAAACACATGGAAATAATATTCAGAATTTGTTTAAAATTTGCAAAAGTTTAGATACAGAGGAAATATTTGGTCAAATAATATTATACAAGTACTAATTGGTTAAAAAGATACTAAATATAATTCAATGAAGCCATGTATCTGTCACAAGGCAAAATTCTCTGCCAAAAGTTAATCATTTCGATTAACCAAATTCGGAATATTTCAGTAAAAACGCAATAAATATTAAAAAATATCTGCACTGTAGACAAGATCAAATTATAATATTCCACACAATTTCTTATTCAAAATACGCCAAAAGTGGATATATTCGTCAATATTAATTTTTGCTACTTTTTGCTAGGATTGTACATACAAAACATCCTTAAGTCGACGGAGAGTAATTTCTGAAACTGTTTTATTATAAAAAATATCTTTTATCACATATTTAATTATATTTGTCATATTTATGTGGATTCCTGCATTCGCGTTGCACATAATAATATTTCTTTTGAATATTAAATCACAATATTCTGACAAAATTAATTAATTCCATGCGATGCATTTGTTTGTCCATTCAATATTTAATCACGAAAAAACGATTAATCACGTCTGCTGATGAATATACAACATTAGATGCAGATCAATGTATCGAATTATGTGAACGGAATAAATTTGTTTGTATCGCTTTATAATTAGATCATTTATTTAAATCGTGTAAAATAATAATTATTAAGTTTTCGATAACGCAATTAATTAATTTTTATTTCAAAATGAAATTTTAACTCTAGTAAAATTATGTCGTATTTTATCACGAATGTGAAATAATTTTTATCCAATGAGAAAAAGAATGTGATAAACGAGCGATCGGCGGGGTGTGGATCCGCGCTTTAAAGTCGCGCCCACAGCTCTCTAAAAGAAATAATAACTAACAATAAAACAATTATAATGGCCGACGAGCAAAACGGGCGATCCGCCCGATTCTTCTTCTTCTTTTTTGCATCGATTATATTGCGAAAGAGCGCGATAACGTATTTCGCATGTACAGTAGAGAGAAGCTCGCCGCCAAAGAAAGTCGCAAGGTAAAACAGAACGGAGAACAATATTTTTCGCGTAGCTCGGTCGATCGGATCGATTCTTAGGATCGGTTAGCAATGCTTGACGCGCAACGCGCTTGAGCTTGTTCGATTTTTCTTTTCCTTTCATTGGAAAATTTCCATCTCGCGCGGCACTAGCCGCTGATAAATACGCGCCATGCTGTGCTATTAATGCGTACATACATATAAATAATATGCGGCTTTAGAGCAATAAACGATTAAGCAATAATAACTTATTCGCGTAGCGCACACAACGAAAATCCGCAATATTGCGCGCCAATCGCGCTTTACTCGCATATGTATATCCCGTACATAACGTCTCTTTGTTGTTTAATTTGTATTTTTTTTCTGCGTTACTTCTCAGACAGCACAAAAAGGCCAAAGATGTCTTAAAGATGTCTTAAAGATGTCTAAAGGATTTAAGACGTCTTCAAGTCGTCTTTTACATGTCTTTTGGACATGTGTGCTGTCTGGGTTGACACTCGTTTATATCGTATTCTTCGTTCTACGCTTATTTTCTTATCACATCGAAAGTATCATTATTTTTCCAACAGTCATTATAATTATTCTTACAATTAGTCGTAATTATTTGTATTTATTATTGACGGATTGTGTCAAGATATTGAAATATGTGAGAATATATTAATACGTGCATGTAAAAAATATACATAATTTTTGGAGATATGTAAAAAGTTACCAATTTTTAAGTACTTTGCATATCTCAGATTTGTGATTCGAGCCATTTCGTTTTGAATGTGTGTGTATTCTTATACATCACAATGTCTTGGCAAGCTGTCGTGTATTTATTGATGTTAATATTAATATTATCACATCTCATTATATTATTTTATTATTATCTCTCATTTTATATTATTATTATTTATTATTATTTATTATTATATTATTATTATTATTATTATTATTATTATGCTAGTACAACGATTCGATACAACGATCGATATCCATATGTTACAAGCGAAAAAGCTAAAACATGTGCAATTTCCATTCTGATTTGTAGGTGGAAACGCCAGCATTCCGTGCGATAAGCTACTTTACTTAAGGTAGTGTCTCGCGTATATAGTTACTAGTCAATACACTTAAACTTCCGAATCATGATAATATATATGCATATATATAGCACATACACACACACACACACATACACACACGTACATTTATATAAATATATATTATAATATACGTATAAATACAGAACGTCCCCTGGAG